TTAATTTTACTAGTTAGGTTTAGAGATTTGGTGTGAGTTAAGTTCTGGTTCAGGTTAGTGATAACTATAGACCAGTAATGGTTAATTTTACTAGTTAGGTTTAGAGATTTGGTGTGAGTTAAGTTCTGGTTCAGGTTAGTGATAACTATAGACCAGTAATGGTTAATTTTACTAGTTAGGTTTAGAGATTTGGTGTGAGTTAAGTTCTGGTTCAGGTTAGTGATAACTATAGACCAGTAATGGTTAATTTTACTAGTTAGGTTTAGAGGTGTTTTGTTAGTTTTGTTGGTTGTTTTTGTTCTTTGAACCTTCTTGTGTTCAGTTGAATTGTCTCCTGCTCCAGCAGCTCATTTCTCTTCAGTCAGACATCAGGTCTCTTCTCTCCTTCAAACCCTGACACTGATTGTGTGATTAGATGAGCTTAGTTTAACACAGGAGCCACTACCCTGCAGGTTTACCTGCTGTGAACGAACAGGTGATCAACAGGCTTCTGCAGAACCTGAAGAGGCTCTTCAGTCTCTGACTCAGCTGTGGTGGAGCAGAGAAACAGAGGCTCCTGAGACCAAACTACTGCTGATAAATATTCCTTTACTGAACTCATATCAGATAATACCTGAATAAATGCACATACATTACCTCATCATTATAACTTTGACTTTTTACCGTAACATGAAGCATATTTATCAGAAGAAGTGATTATTGAAGGAAAATCTGTGACTTTTCCTCAGTCAGTGAGCTGCTCCTCTCCTCCACATGGGAGCAGCAGCACACAGCTGATGAGTCACTGTTCACCCTGATCGCTGCTCCGCTCACTCCCTGTGAACCTTCACACCGTCACTCTGTTTCTCTGCATTCCTCTCAGACTTGACCCCACTCCACTGACGGACCACCACTCACATAATCCTGTTAGTTTGTGTTCAGGTGTAGTTCCTGCTGACTGGGTCCAGATCCAGCAGAGTTTGTTCAGAAAATCACTGAAAACATCTTTACAGGCTTCTGTAACAAAAACCAGAGCAAAGAAAACACACACCATGTCTGAAACACAGACTGGAAACTAAGCCTCAAATAAAGTTCAAAAACAAGCTTTAAAACTCTTAAAGCGTGAGCAGCAGACGAGCACATGTGATGGTTTATGTTTCTGTAGTGTTTTCTGTTTAAAACAAACTTGACTTTGTGCTGCAGTTTCAGATTGAACAGAGAACTGCAGCAGAGACAAACAGCTTCATTCTGATGGACAACATGTGGGAGTTGGTTTAAAACAGATCTGCACACATCTCAGAAGTTAGTGATGTCATCGACTGTCACTTCAGTTGAAAACTGTAAAAATAAAACTGAAACCTGTAAAAACCACAGTCAGTTCAGACTCATGAAGTCTAACTTTGTGTTTCTGTAATGAAGCAGCTGCAGAGCGGCTGGCTGCTGGTTTAAATCCCATCAAGCTCAGAGGAGTTAAAAAGTAGACTATTCACGTTATATTATATAATACAATAATTGTTCCACACTTGATCTATTGTGTTGATGTTTGGGGAAAATCCTGCAAAACAATTACAAACCCAATTTTTGTTTTACAGAAAACAGCTGTAAGAATTATCACCAGAAAGCATCACTGTCACCCATCAAATCCATTGTTCCATCAGCTGAGTTATTGATATTCAATGATTTGGTTAATTATGGTATTTTATCAGTTATGTATCGGGCTCATAAAAACACATTACCTTCAAACATCCAGTCACACTTTGTTAAAAGAGAGAGTTGTTATAATCTTAAAGGGATAGAAATGTTCATCAAACCCAAATTTAGAACCAGTTTAAAGGAACAGAGAACTTCAATCCAGGGTTTAAGACTATGAATAATCTGGAAGATGACATTAAAAATGCCAGATCAATGAGTATATTTAAGAAAACGATTGTTATGGACTAATTATTTATATCTGTTTCACCTTGACGCTGTCCAGTACTCATATATCTTATGATAACTACTTTAGGCTGTTTTAATCTGTTTGCCCCAGACGTCAGGACTCCAGCAACGCATGACCTCTCTTATTTTTGATAAGAGTTGGGTTGGGAGCCCTGTTATTGGCTAGGTGGTTACATTTGTCGGACTGTGATTGGCTGTAAACTGTCACATGATGTTATCATGATGTTATATTATTGGCTGCTCTCCGCTGACGAGTCAGCCACCACTCAACAGACTTCCTGATTGACCGTCTGCTGTGTTGTCGCTCAGAATTAAATCATTTGACGACCATACACGCAGACTTTCTGTGCATTTATTCCAACGTGTTTCTGCATTCCTGGTAAAATTTGCCACGACAACGATAAAGAATAATTTGCTGGGGAAATATGTAAATGTATGAATTGTTGTTCAAGGAGTTAAACCTTTATTATTTTTTTTGTTTTTTTTTTTTTTCTTTTTTATAAACTAAAGATTATTTTTGATTGAATTTATTTGTTTGAGAAAAAGGGGCAGATATAATAAGATTTTATCTTCTTCTGCTACCTTTCATTTAATTTAGGATTTGTACTTTTGTTGTTTGTTGAATTTATGTTGTTTTTTTAAAGAAATGAATAAACTAACTGAACTGAACTGAACATTCATTACTTTAGTAGAAGTATAGATACTAGGGTTTAAAAATACTTTTTTGGAAGTAAAGGTAGCTCAAGCTTTTTACTCAAGTATAAAAGTACTGTTTTTAAAAACTACTTAAGGTATTGAAGGAATTTATTATTCTTACAGTATAAAAGTATAAAAGTAAAAGTAATGAACACTTAAAAAAGCCATTAAAGATAAAAGCTTAGCTTTTTATAGCACTCCCGCCCCCATTTTTCTTCTAAAGTCAATAATGTTGTTAAATTAAAATGTTAA